CGTGTGTTAGGGGCCCCCAGCCAGGCAACTCTCCCCACCAGCAGTAGGAGCCCGCAGCAGGGTTACTCAGACGTGAATATTTAAACAGCACCAGAGGTGTTGGCTTCCCCGGGAGCATCAAATCTGGAGCCAATGGCAAAAGACTACCCCGGACGCAGCAGGACGCAGCAGCTTCCTGGCAGCCTTAGTCTCAAAGCCGCCGGCTGCTGAACAGCACCGCCCTGGCAGCCCGCTCGAAGCCCATGGAGCGTCACGTGGCCCAGCGCAGGTAGCTACTGACCAAAGGCTGCTCGCCGCTCAGGGCAGCCAGGCACGTCCTTAGACACGTCCGCTCTGGCCCAGTTCTAGCGTGGCGTCCAGCGCAGGAGCGTAGCCGGCCTACGGGGAAGACGTCCAGAAGGGAGATGGCCGGGGATGGGTCTTACAGCATCGTGGGCAGGAATTGACTCAGATCGGCCATGGGCCTAGGAGGGCGAGCTCGGATCCCGAACACTGGGTGACTCACAGACCGTTGGGCAAAAGACTCGTGGGAACCAGTTTCACCAAACGGTGACAGAATCACCAGTCACTGAGGAAGTTACTCATTCTAGGGACTAAATGCACCTCAGCTGCAGAAGACGAAAACCCGGATTATCAGGAACAAGAAATGCTCCACAATGGCAAGGAGAGGCCACGGCTGGGACACCGCAGCCTGCGACAGGACCACGCAGAAACGCTTCCCTTCAACCATCGAAGAGTCTCCGGTTCAGCGCCACTGACTTGGAATTCAGCCCCAATTTCCTTCTGGAAACACTGGCAGGAGCACGGCTAGTTCGCCCGGAAGCACCAGACACCACCGCTGGTGGGCCCCACCCAGGATAACTAGGATCCTGTAACCCAGGGGTGGGGAACCTAAGGCCCCGGGGGGCCAGAGGCGGCCCCCCGCTTGCCTGGATCGGGTTCCTGGGGCTCGGGGCTCCAGCCCCCTCTGCTCTCCACCCAACTGATTTTTCTGTGGGCCAGCGGCCCCCAACCCAAAAAGGGTCCCAGCCTTGCTGTAATCCAGTCCTTGGCTTGATTTCTACAACAGAACACGGGGGAGAAGGACTAGCATTGGCCGTAGCACGGCTTGGGGCAGCCACCCCAGGCCCTGCACTTTGGGAGGCCCGTGGGGGGCTGCCCCAACGGTCCTATGGACGGGACACACGGGGCCCAGGGCAGCAGCCGGGAGCAGACTGCTCCGCTCCGTCGCCCATCCCCGAGCCTGCCAGGCCCCGCGCCCCTAGGGTGAACGGTGTGTCTGGGGCAGGGCACTGGCTCAGCTGGGTCAAGTCTGGGAACAAGGAAGGGATCTGTCTGGGCTTCCCACGCAATGGGCCGTGGCCGGGCGGCCGTGCCGACTGAACGCTGCCCTGCTGAGGCTGCCGGGCACCTGTCGGCAGCACAGGGGCCCAAGTGCTGCAAGAGCAACCCCTCAATTCTAGGCACCTCACTGGACTCTGCTGCCACGACGACCGGCGTCATGCACCGCCCACCAGGGCCCAGCTATTGCTCTCTGGCCCCCCCTCTACCGGCCAAAGCAACCAGCCCCAGGCCCCCTCTTCCCCACGTGCCAGGGTCCCTGCTGCCGCAGCGCATCTCCCGGCCGCTGCGCTGGTCTCCAGCCTGCAGGCGTCTCTCCCCATGCCCTGGACCCATAAAGGAGCATGGACTCGGATCCAAGTACCGCCCCTTTTGTGGGGAAAGCTGCAGGCAGGGTCCAGCAGCGCCACAGCTGGGAAACAACCATCAGGCGACAGACATGGGATCTGGCAAGGGGGGCCCGTGGCGGCGTGAAATGCGCCTGACCGGCGTGGACTCGGCCGGCAGGAGGCGCTAAGTGGCTTCCCTGGGCAATCCCAGAAGGTGGCCAATGCGATTTCCACACAGCGCGTATGCAAAGCCCAGGCTTTGGAGCGGTGCAGGAGAGGCACTGGCTGGAAACAGCAGGACTGTCCAAGCGTGGGCTGAAGCCGGACAGGAACTCGCCCCTTGCTAGTGCCGACGTGCCGCCCGACGTGCCGCGCTAAGAACACTCCGGCTGGCCGGGTGCTGCCCTGCCCCGCTGCAGCCCTTGGACGCAGCACAGGGCCAGTCAAGAAATCATTGCAGCACCAGGCACATCTGAACGTTGACAGGGGGCCGAGGGCCTGGCAGCCTAAAAGCAGAGCGGCGGACCAGTGGGCTGACAGATTTGCACTTGGGCAGCCCCCTCCACGGGCTCTGGTGCCAGGCTCTGTGCAGACCACGGAGGCGACGCTGCTCATGTCGCTGACCTCTTCTCTGCTCCCACAAGGCTCCAAAATGGATTCAAACCCAGAGGCCGGATTCCGGAGCACCCCCCCGCAGCGGGGGGGGACTGTGCAGCACACGCCATGGCTGCAAGTGAGCTGAGGAAACCCAGGAGCAATCCTGGTCCTCCCCCCCCGAGCTTCTCTCCCGCTGCCGGACTGGGACTAGAACTTCCGAAGGGAGCCCAGGCGTGAGGAACCGGGACTCCCTGCTCTCGGCGTGGTGGCTGAGGCGATGGCGCGGGCAGCGGAGTTCAAGCGTTGTGGAGAGCGGAGGCCCGGGGGGCCCTGCTGGCTGCCTCTGGAAAGCCGCTTCCCCCGCAGACTCGGATGGCTTGTAACGCGAGGGCCGAGCCCTCGCTCTGGACGCAGACAGGAGGCAGTTACCGCTCCCGTCACAGGCTGCCACGGAAAGCGGGAGACCGGACCATCACAGAGCCGTTCTGTGCTCGGGGGGACACCTCTCCGGAGGGGAGAATCAACACTGCTCTGGAGAATGAACGTCAGCTCCTGCCCTGGGGCATTTGGGCGGAAGAAGATAGCGTGGTGGTACTGGGACCATGGCTACACTCAGGTCACAGGGTCCAGGAGCAGGCAAAAGGCCCAGCAAAGCTTATTAGTTCAGAATACCTGCAATGTACCCCAAACCATTTCCGACCGCGTGTCCTGAGGGGTCTCTGCCCCTGAAGCCAGATGAATTGTGCCAAACGCGAACGAGAAGGAAAAGAAAACTCAAAATGTCACGTCGGAGACAGAAGTTCGAGGCCCCGGATCCAGGAGCTTGCATGGGGACCCTGGAGTTAGCGCAGAGAATCCGGGGGGCGGCAGCAAATCGCGAACGAGAAGGCTACGTGGCCCCCAAGTATCACCAGGAGCCCTCTGCTGCCGCGCTGTCTACAGCCAGGTCCCGGACTGGCGCAGCATGGCCAGCTGGAGCAACGGCCAAAGGAGCAAGCTTCTCTTCCACCAGCCCTCCCCAGCAAAGGGATCCAGCAGCCAGCCCCTTGTGCAGAGGGGAACTGGGGTCTATACGTCCGGCCCCGCAAGCGGAGAGATACCAGCCCCTCTGAGCACACAGACAAGGCTCTGCTGCCCCTTGGACTGGAGGTCAGTTTTAGTCGGGGCCAGTGTCCCTCCAGCGTCCCCGGCGGCTAGCCAGCCAGGGGCTCAGGGCTTCCTGCACGGAGCTGAGGAATCCCCTGCGAAGCTCTGCCGCGGCGCAGCTTGGAGGGACGCTGCTCAGAACGACAGCGGAGACAGCCTCCTCCGCAGGCCAAGCGGCCCAGAGCGAATGGTCTCTAGCTAGGCGAGCCACGCACTGCGGAGGGCGTCTGCACACGACGCGCTAGCGAACCGCTATCCGCACGGGGAACCAAGGAGTGCGACTCCCCCAGCTACTACTGAGCACAGAGGAAGTGGGACGCTGGGGAACGGGAAATTATGGCCAGATACTCACCGCCGAGTAGCAGTCTGAGGTGGGCCAAGCTACACCACACGCAGCTCCTTCCATTCCCCTGCGCTGCTTGGAGTTCAAACAGCCCTCGCGCGGCCCATGCACAACCAGCACCCAGGCTCCAGCCACCAGAGAGCCCCAGGACCCGAGTCTGGGCCTGCATACGCGGCGAGGAGTCCTGTGGCACCTTCCAGACTCAGGTCGATTGGAGCACAAGCTTGCGTGGGCAAAGACCCACTTGGTCAGATGCCTGGAAGCTGAGGCTCTTCAATGCAGCTCTGCCACCTTTCTCCATTTCTGTCCCTCGCTTTCAGCCCCCTCTGGCTTCTGAGAGCCAGCACCCAACTCCCCCTGCTGCCATCAGCTGCCAGCCCACTCCGGCAGGGCCCCCGCGCCCAGCTATCCCCTCCACGCGCT